CTCAGGGAGGAAAGAGTCACAATACAGAAGAGACTTATACACGACTCTGATGATGGCAAAATATGTGTCAGAGTGCTGTGTCCTGCCATGGGCTATTGGAATTCACAGAAAGGAGGCTGGAGTGAAAGATGAGTCTGGAGCTGGGCTTTGCAGTTAGGGGTGGCCAGGGTTGGCAGCAACTTGAGAGAGCACAGCAAGACTGGGTTGCAGGAGAGTGGAGAAAGGAACACATGAGCTGGAGATTTAGGGCCTGAGCAAAGGCAGAGATGAGCCTGAGCCTAGTGTGAGAGGCAGACAATGTCTTGCCTACTCTACCAACCCAGCAGGGGCTCCTGGTCCTGGGGGGAACGGGTCATGTCAGGAGTCAGCGTAGAAGGCTCCAAGCTTTCACCACAAGCGTCCTCCCCTCACTCAGTCACATTGTACTCTCTTGGGTTGCTGCCAGCCCTGGCCACCTTTAGCTTAGACCCATGAAAGGTGCTTGCTAGGGCTGATGGAAGTGATGACAGAGCTCCAAGGGCAGACTTTGGGCCTAATCAGGGTGGGAGGCGAGAGTGATGGGGTGCTGCAGGGATTGTGTGTAAGTGTGCCAAGGATGAGGTGGGCAGGTCTCAGCCAGCGTGGGTTCCTGATCCATCTGTGACTGCCAGCTCTATCTATCCACCTATGCCTAGGACAGTGATTGGCTGTGCTTAAACAGGAAACCAGGAAAACAGAACTGAGTTCATCTGGGATAGCGTCTTCCACTTGCACATCTTCAAAAGTTACATATAAATATCAATAAGGTAACCAACAGGCCGTGCTTTACATGCCTAGGAGAGGCACATATTTGCATCTACCTAAAAACCACAAAACTTGGTGGTGTATGCCTCAGAGAGGTTGGAGTTAAATTCTCTGTTTAGTTCTCAGAGTTAATCTCTTATATTCTTACTATTATTAATGTTTATGCCTAAGGCGGAGGGACCAACAGGGCCAACAGGACCAAGCATGGGCCTGTGGGTCTCAGTTGGAAAACGTTATGCCATATCACATTTGGATGAACTGATGTTTGTAGCACTGTTTCCCAGAGTGTGGATGAGATCAGCTGCATCAGAATCATGGGGTGTGGTAGTGTGGTTTATGACAACGTAGATTCCTGAGCCCCACCCCAGCTCTATTCTCTAATTTCTGGTGCCGAGGCACAGGAGGCCCCATTTTAACCAGCACCCTAGGTGATTTTTATGCACAGTGAAGTTTAAGAACCACTATTCATGCTCTAGAAGTAGGGGTACTTACTAATATCACAAAGCCATTAGGTCTCATCATCATTAATTTTGAATTATAGACAAGGGAATATTTAAGTTAAAGTTTTAGCAGCATTAAATAGGATGGAGTGGCTTACACTGAAAACCAGAAAACTCATCCAAAAATGACCTTGTCTAATAAATTGAATGCAACAGACTAAAGCCAAGTGACTTTGCAGAAAGATTGGCCCATTTAATTCAGGAAAGCTCAAGCTGAGTCATAACACAAACACTGATGATGATGTCTTTCATCCTAAGCCTTCCCTAGTCTCAGCCAAAATCCAAAAAAGGAGAGAAAACTGCACGAAAGATGAAGTGTCATTTGCTACCTTCCTCTCCACCCCCAGTCACCATGGCACTCCATAGAGCAGCTCTCTGTGCTTCTTCCCGATATCCTTAGCCTTAGAAGAATGGGAGTGCTTAGGAGCCAGAGAGAAAGAAAGAGAATAGACAGCCTGTGAGAAGGTCAGGGAGGGAAGCATGAATAGGCAAAGAAAGCCCTCAGAGAAGTTATACAGGAGAGGAAATCCAAAGGAGAAGCCACAGATGCTGGGAAAAATGAGGGAAGACATGGGGATGAGGAGAGAAATGAAAGAAGCAACCATAAAAGAGAAAATAGAGGGATGTATAGCACAAGCTTTAGAGCCAAATAGATCCAGGGTCACTTCAAGAAAACAAGAAATCCTAAAGGTATACATACCAAGCAACAGCACTGAAAAATATGTGAAGTAAAAACTGATAGAACTGAAAGGAAAAACAGATCTTTAAGATTGAGAACAGGGCATAGATGTCCACTCTTACCACTCTTTTTCAACATAGTGGTGGAACTTCTCTCTAGTGCAATAAGGAAATACAAGGAAATAAAAGGCATACAGATTGGAAAGGAAGAAATAAACTGTCCCTATTTGCAGATGACATGATTGTCTATATGGAAAATCCCAAGGAATCTACAAAAAAACAAAACAAAAACCTCTTAGAATTAATAATAATTTGGCAGGGTTGCAAGATACAAGATAAACATACAAAAACCAGTTTTTTACATATATATATGTATAGGCAATAAACACTTGGACGCTGAAATTAAAAATCAATACTATTTATAATCACTCAAAAATTTAGATACTTATGTATAATTCAAAGATCTACATAAATGGAGAGACATACTATGTTCTTGAGTTAGAAGACTCAACATAGTAAATATGTCAGTTCTCTCCAGGTTAGTATACAGATTTAAAGATCCCATGCAATTCCTAGTGAGATTTTTTTCTTGTAAATATAGACAAGATTATTCTAAAGTTTATGCAGAAATATAAAGGAATTAGACTAGATAAAGCAATTTTGGAAAAGAAGAGTAAATTGGGAAGAGGTAGTCAATTCACTTTCGAGACATTATGTAGCTACTGTAATCAAGACAGAGGGACAGAATGGAGAAAGCAGAAATAAACTCATGTAATTGTGTCAACTGATCCTTGACAAATGTGCAAAAGCAATTCAATGGAAGAGAGACAGCCTTTTCAACAAACGGTGGTGGAACAGTTGGACATCCATTGGCAAAAGAAAAAAGAAGAACCTCAACATGTCTCTCATTTTACACAAAATTTAACTCAAAATGGATCTTGGACTTAAATGTAAAATGTAAAACTATGAAACTTTTAGGAAAAAAATTAGGAGAAAATTTCAGGATCTAGGGCTGGTGCAAAGAGTTCTTAGACTTAACATTAAAAGCAAAATCCATAAACAGAAAAACTGATAAATTGGATTTTGTCAAAATAAAAATAATTGTTCTGTGAAAGATCCCAGTAAGAAGATGAAAAGATAAGATACAGAGTGGGAGAAAATATTTGTAAACCATGTATCTGAAAAAGGACTAATATTAAAGTACTCTCAAAACTCAAAAATTAAAAAACAATCCACTTAGAAAATAAGCAAAAGACATGAACAGACATGTCATGGAAGACAACACACGGGTGGCAATATTATCCCTTCAACATCATTAGCCCTTAGGAAAACGCAAATTAAAACCATAATGAGATATCACTACAGATCTGTTAGAATGGCTAAAATGAAAATAGCGACAGCACCAAATGCTGACAAGGATGCAGAAGAACTGGAAACTGGATCACTCATCACCACATGGCTGGTGGGAATGTAAAGTGGTACAGCCACTCCCGAAGACAGTTTGGCAGTTTCTTTAAAAATTAAACATGCAATTAACATATAACTCAGCAATTGCGCTCCTCAGTATTTATCCTAGGAAATTTAAGACTAACCTTCACACAAAAACCTGTGCACAAATGTTTATAGCAGCTTCATTCATAACAGCTAAAAACTAGAAAGCAGATGTCCTTCAATGGATGAATGATTGAACAAACGGTGGTACCTCCATACCAGGGAAATACTACTCAGTAAGAAAAAGGAATGACCTACTGATACACACCAACAGTTGGGATGAATCTCCAGAGAAATACGAGGAGTGAAAAGAGCCAGTCCCAAAAGGTTACATACTATAGGATTCAACTCAGACAACATTCTTGAAATGAAAAATTATGGAAATGAATAGATTAGTGGTTGCCAAGGGTTAGGGAGGGGATGAGGGTGGAAGCAAGTGGGTGTGACTATAAAAGGACAACATGAGCGATCCTTGTGGCTATGGGAATGTTCTGTATCTTGACTACATCAATGCTGGCATCCAGTTTGTGATATTGTGTTATAGTTTTGCAAGATGCTGTTTTGGGGGAAACTAAGTAAAATGTACAAGGAATCTCTCTGTTTTGTTTCTTACAACTACAGGTTAGTCTACAGTTATCTTTTAAAAAAGTTTAACAACAAAAAAATTAATATTAGTGCTTCATGATCTCTCTGGTAGCTGCTCCACACCATTTCTCCTTCAAGGCCCCATTCAGCGAGATGGCAGAAATTAGATCTCAGTCAGGTGAGGGTTTCCCTACCTGCTTATATCTAAGTTTCAGGGATTCATGAACGTGATGCTAATCTTGTGGTGCTGTCATCATCCATGCTGGGGTCCACCCAGAATAGTCTTCAGCTATCTGCTCACCTAGGATGCTGCTGAATCCTCCTCACCTTTGGGGCTGATGGGTCCACTCCAGGTATTCTGTTAGTTCTTCTTCTCGATGGGCTGCAGGAAGCCTTGAGGCCATCTCGGTTCTATTTGCCAGATACACTCAATGGGCGTTCCTACTTCACATACGCAGGGGTTGGAGGGACTCCGGGACTATGCTTGGGTATTGGGACACAGCCTCTTTTATTCGAAGGCCCCTCAGCCTATCTGGAATCTTCTTGTGTCCCCATCCCACCCTAGGTTCATTTGGTGCTTCAGGAAGGGCTCGGAGCCCCTTGTCAGACATCCATGGGTATCAAGTACCCTTTGCTTCCTTTGCGATTCTCCTCTAACCAAATTCAATGTTATCCACCCTGAGGGCAGAGAAGGGTGTGTGACAGTGGATATATTCTTCCAAATCTTATGTCTTAGGTCTGATCCTCACAGTTTCTCTCCTTGTTTCTCAGCATTGTGCTGAATCGCCCTTTTCCTGAGGGGATAAGCATAGAATCCCTTTGCTGCAGCTTAAATTGGTCACAGAGTAACAGGAAGTATGGAGGAAAACCCTCCTGTCAGTACATCAAAATATTATCCCATGATATTTTCTACCATCTTTCTACTCTTGGCCCACTCACTCTCCAACTTGTCTTTCCCTTCAGCTTGTGGCCCAGGTCCTGGAACACAAAGATATAGGCTTTGTGATGGTGGATGCCAAGAAAGAAGCCAAGCTTGCCAAGAAACTGGGTAAGTGTGATTTTTTGAGAAATATCAGGAAGAAACAAACATGTCTTGCAAAAATAGTACAGTTTAATTTCTTCTTGCATAACTGGATTATTTTTAAATGAACGTAAAATGGTCCTGCATATCTTAGTCTTGGATTGGGGAAGAGTTTCATAAAAGTAAATATTGGCCTGAATTGAATGGTTTCACATCAATCATCTAATATGTCTTTGTATCAGTTCAATGAAGAGGGTTTCTTCCTGCAGAAACTGACACTAAAGCTTCAAACCTCAGTTTTCAGCTCCCAGGTTCTCGTTCTCACCGCCATGATCACGTCATGTCTCTGAGGGAGATCAAATCTCTGCTTCCATCACCTGTTATTCCCTTACCTCGTGGCTGAAACAGCCAACAAAAGACAGCATTAATAGTAGTGACCCTGGGGTGCCAGTGGTTTCTAAATTTAAGGCTAAACCCCAGCTGGACATTATCACCAAGGACGAGAGGGAGGATTTAGATGAGCTATGGTTAAGTGACTACACAGTGCAAGCTGCAGTCTCTCGTGTCAATATGTCATGCTTAAGTGCCGGGGCACTTTAAGATTCTCACTCCTCTAATTCCAAGGAGAGAGAATATAGGTAACTCCTCTGGTTTTTGAATACACACATACATGTGCTGCCCGTTTTGCTTTTTCTGCATGACCAGTGAAGAATGGCTATTAAAAAAAATAGCAGGAGGTTATAAAACAGGACCTTTGAGGAAAGGTTAATTGGATTTGGGGTAGTAAGCACAGGAAAAGAAAAAAAAAAGACTGGCAGAGGCTCAGTAAATACCTTCAGGTACATGAAATTTCATTATCTTGGAGAATTACAGACAACTGTTTTCTATTTTATTTTCAAGAAGACTAGCCCATTTTTTTTAAGACAAATTTTAGGACAGTATTTAGGTTGGATACAAGGAAGAACTCATGACTATAAAATGATAATAAATTATTAAAAATATCTGGGGTATCTCTTTCCCTGGACACAAATTAAGGAATTTTTTTTCCCCTTGAGCAGGGGAGCAAAGTATGTTGAACTCTTTCCCTAGCCCAAAGCAATTTAATGAGTTCTTTCTCCTTCTCCAGGACCTCTTGATTCTCTAGACTTCTCCTTTCCCATTGTTTTAATGAGAAGTTGAATTTGGGAGAATTTCTAGTAACTTTAGTTAGAGGAAAAGATTAGGGTTCCAGTCATCTAAAAATTTATGAGGGACAAGTTGGGCAAGCGCCTGTAAGAATGGACTGATGGATATTCTCCCAGAGGAAGATGTGCTGGGGTTTGAAATGTCTAAATGAACCTTTCTCCAAGCTCAGCCTGGAGGACCTGGACCAGTTCTTTCCGAGTATTTTATCTTCGGAGTTCACAGGACAGTTGTATATGGTGGACCTGCTCCTTCGTTTTCATCCTCTCTTCCATTTGCCTGAGTTTGGTCTCCATCAGACTGTGCCTGAACTGGTGCAACAGCCCCCTGACTGGTTTTACTCAGAGCAAAATCCAACTGGCTGGTGTTCCCCATAGTACTCTCTGTGATCAGTCATTCCCGCTTCAAGGATCCCTAGTACACTACTCCTTTAGATTTACAAATGGTGCTCCGTTATGTGCCTGGAGCTCTTCCGATGTGCCCTGGGACACAGCAGGCAGTGGGCCAGACTTTCTTTCCCTAGAGGCTCTGCAGACGAGTTCCTTTGGAGAAAGCATTCTGCAGCTAATAGAGAGTTTGCAAACAATTAATCTAAGGAATTAAGGATGCCATGCAGTTGGACTCAACGCCAGCCTCAGCTATTTAGTATTCCTGGGGGTAATGCAGTTTTCCAGTGAACATTTGTTAAGTGCACAGCATTATGCCAAGAGTGATAGAGAGTAGAAAAGAAGATGCAGAACCTGCCCTTGCAGCATTCTCAGCTAACTGGGAAAAGTAGATGCGCAGAATTCAGCTATAACAGAAAAGCAAGCTGTTTGTTCTGGCCACAAACATTTATGGGGTGCCTGATGTGTCCAGGCTCTATGCAAGGCACTGGGATACCAAGATGACAGTGGTCCTACCTGTAGAGAGCTTACTGTTAGAGTGAGTACATGTAAATGGAGCTGAGAGAAGATCAATAATAGTAAGGGAGATTGGGGTGGTCTTCTTGGGAAAAATGAGTCCTTAACCTGGGCAGGACTTAGTGGGGGGGCTAGTGGAGGTCGCTCCAAATTTGGGGCATGAGGAGAACATCTGTGTAGAGAATCATGCTCTGTGATCCTTTCATATCAGCACGTGGGCAAGAAGCAAAGGGAATGCACAAGCCTTAAGAAAGCCGCTCTTAAAGGAGTGCAGGGCCACCCAGGGGAGAAGGTGAAGCATACGATTTAGCACACTAGGTTGTGGAGGGACTTGAATGACAGGCTAGGAAGTCAACTGGGCAGTGGGCGTGGAAATGTTCTGAGAAGGTAAGTGGGGTCAGCAGTATTTGGAAAATTAAAGCAGTGGTGGAGTGGAGAATAGATTTTTCTTTCAAGTTAAAGTCCAGGTAGAATTGTTGGTTCTTGACTATTTCAATTTGCATCTCTACTTTAGAAGCCCTTCAGAAGTGTGGTTTCTCAGGAATTGATTCTAAAGCTAATGCTGGTTCCACTGATCCTGACCCCACTGTCACCCAGAGACCCTGAGCCCGACCTCGGCCAACAAGATGGCTCTTCTTACATCGGGATGACCTGACTCTGTTTCTTCCAGGTTTTGATGAAGAAGGAAGCCTGTATATTCTCAAGGGTGACCGCACAATTGAGTTTGATGGCGAGTTTGCAGCTGATGTCTTGGTGGAGTTCCTCTTGGATGTAAGCATTTATGCACAGTGGCCCTGCACGGAGCTGTTTGGGTTCAAACATAGCAGAAAGTAAAACCCCAAAGTAAGAACAGATAAGCTGGATAAATGGACTGGATCTAAGACAGATTTCTCAGGCTTCACGAAAAACTAAGGAGTGCCTGAATCTCAGCACTATTTACTTCTACTGGGAAGCTGGCCCCTAAGTCACCTTAGAAACTGTTTTATTAGTGACCAGAGGGTCACAAATCAGGACTATGTAGGAGTAACATGTTAATTCTCTTAGCAGCTATACACCAACATCCCCAGAGGTCCCCCCGGCTCTGTTCCAGGGCTTCTGAAGAGGAGCTGGGGAGTGTGGGAAAGAGAGGTGGATAACCACCTGAAGATCGAGTAGGAAGAGGACTAACAATCAGCTGAGTTACCCTCAGGGCAAAATAAAGAGAAGCAGGGCTGGTGAGCCCCCCAATAACATACTCCTTCTCAGCCATGGAGGTACAACACCCTCAGATTTATGTGCTCAGGCCAATAGAGGAACTAATGCTATAAACATATTTTATCCATAGACAAACTTACACTTTCAATAACAGCTGTGAAGTGAAATGCTTTTGAACACAGATTCCTGAAGAGATAAGGAACGTCCACACTGATGGTTCCTCATCTATCAGCTCGTCCACGGTGGCCTATTGCCTCTTCTTCACAGTCTCAAAAGCCCAGAGAGAGTCAGAAGTGAGTTGAAGGCCACCTACAAAAAAAATGCCCATAGATTCTGCTTATCCCTCTCATTGATCCATACCTGCAAGCCCTAAAAAAATTGAGGGGGCAACAGAACAACTCCAGGCCAACAAGGCACTGCCCCAGCTCTGTTGGCTAAGTGGAGACTTTCAGATGCACACAACAGAAACCAGACTCGACTGCCTTAAACAATGAGCAACGTGATTGACCCACATGAATGGAAGACCAGAGTGAGGGCAGAATTAGATGTGATCAAATCAGGGCTCTAGCTCCCTTTTCTCTGTAAATCACAGAAAAAGCTCTTTTCAGTTTGTTGGCTTTGTCCTCAACTTGACTGTTCTCAAGTTGGTTACAAGATAGCCAGCATCAGAAGCTGATACATCACATTTCCTCCAATGAGGGGGAAAAAATCTGACCTCCCATTGCTCTCTTAAAAGGAAAGCAGAACTTTCCCAAAGCCTTTAGCCAAACTACCCTGAAGAGTCATTGGTCAGCATTGGGTCATCTGCCATTCCTGAATCAATAACTGGCAAGGGAAATAGAATTGCCCCCATGCCAATGTGAATTAAGGTCAGTTCCTCAAAAGGCACTGCTGCTGTGCTCATTGGGAAGAGTGGGATGGATGCTGAGGCCCCAAGCACAAAGTCCACAACTTCCCTCGGAAGCACTCTACACACGTGCCTGATTTCCTCACTGGGGAAGAAACAGTTCTCTTATGTGAACATATTTTGTGTGTGTGTGTGTGGCATTTCAGCTAATTGAAGATCCTGTGGAGATCATCAACAGCAAACTGGAAGTCCAAGCCTTTGAACGCATTGAGGACCAGATCAAACTCATTGGCTTTTTCAAGAGTCAGGACTCAGAATGTAAGTGGTGTGTCAACTCCAGCCTGTCAGCCTAAAGGTTCTTTTCCCAACAGTGTATGTTAGATTATCCATAAAGAGGATGGGCCATCGGCATGTCCTGTGCTGGTTAGAATAGAGGGAGAATCTTCCTTGCACCCTGTGCAAGGGGACGCATGTGCAGAAATTATGCAAAATAGGCAGAGGAGCTGAAAGAACATTGAGGCTGGGCCATGTTCTCTGGCATGGAAGGGGGGTTGAGTGTTTTAAAGAAGAAAGAAGAGTCTTCCTCCACTTTTTCCACCTGCCCATCTGCCAATGGGATTCTTCCCTAATATGAGGCAAATAGTGGGCTTTCTGCCTGATGTTGGCAGCTCCCATGGTCATCAGTTGGAGAGTTTCTCAGTCACCTGGACAGCATTAGAGGAAAACTGGGGTAGGGATGGGCTTAGCAGCTGCAGCACAATGTGGAAAATTGCTGGTCAACTCCTGCTGACCGCTAAAGCTGCCTGCAGCAGCATGGCCACACCCTTGGGTATACTCCCTTTGAAAGCTGTGTGGCCAGGGTTTGGGTGGGCACAGGAACACATCATAGCATCACCACAACCCATACAGGGTGAGAGGGTGGTGAGTGGGAGTCAGGAAGAGAAGGGATCACATTTGAGCACATTTTTTAAACTGCTTTGGCAGCACGGACCCAATGAACTAAGGTTTTTCTGGTGTCAGCCTCGGAGGGAGGGAAAGTGTTGGGGGAGTGGGCGTAACTATGAGAGTGAATCTGGTTGCATTAGCACATGGGGGAGGGGCAAATAAGGGCTGATTATGACCATTTCTGGAAACTCAAAAATATTTTGAAAGTACTTGCAAAGCTGTTTCTTTACCCAGTCTGCCAACTGGCATCCTTAGTCATCTCATCAACAACCCACCAATTTTCTCTCTCCCAACTTAACTGTCTTCTCATTTTCTACATGAAAGCCTCTATTCACCCTCCTTAAGAGTGTGTTGGGGGAAGGAGGCTGGCCAGGGAGTTTTGCCCCCATTCTTCTTTAGGTGACTTTATTTCAGTCTTCACATTTCTACATAGATGCTGACCACTCTGCAGTGATTCTCCTGCCCCTTTCTACGTTCTCCTCTTTATTTTATTTCCTTCTATTTCTCTTTATCTGTTTCTGTCTCCCCCCTGCCCCTCTTCCCAATGTTCCCATTCCTTTCCGTCTTTCTGTTTCTCTCTCCTCCATGGGCAGATCATAGTGGAAATGTGCTAATTTCACTTCTGAGTGGAAATTTCACTTCTGAGTACCTCCATTAAGCTCAGGATAGCAGATAAGGAGGGAGGCAAGGCAAGACTGGGACAAGAGCACGTCTTCCAGTTCCTATCTTCCCCTCCCCTAAACTAGTAACAGTAACAATTCCATTTAATTAACACAAACCATATGCCAGGGCCTATGCAGGAGCTTTATGTAGATGCCTTAATTTCATTCTCACAACTAGCCTGTAAGGTAGTTACCATTATTATCAGTACCCAATATCACACAGTTAGTAAATAAGTGGTAAAGCCAAGATTTAAATCCCAGGAATCTGGCGTTAGAGCTCATACACTTACCACTGGGCTGTACTTTCAAGACTTCACAAACTTGGTCAGGTCATGACCCACACAAAATGTGGTGATGCTTGTACAACACATAGGGGTAAACTGGAAGACATTCGGACTAAGGGGGAAAAATATTTTTTTACTTTCTTTATATAATATAATAACAATATACAAAATAATAAAAAGATATCAAACATTGCGTTGTAAAAATAAAATCTTTTTAGATTTTGAATGAGAATCTTGTGCTTCCTTCTATGAATATAGCTTTTGATAATTAGGTTTTATGCTTGAAGTAGCAACAGGCAATTCCTGATCAAGGTTTTAAATGATCTCTCTAAATTCTCGATAGTCACCATTGACAAGAGACTTTCCTGCACATGTGGATGGTGGCAAATGACACAACAGCATTCACTGCTTTTTCTTTGGTTGATGAACAATCTTTTCTTACCATTGACCAGAATTTAGATAATCCAATCGCTAAATCATCCTTCGAGGATATAAGCGTTCTTTCAATCTAACAGCTATTACTTTCCTTTTCAATGACAAATGTAGTGCTAAAATTTCTTATGATTATTTGAATAGATTTCAGATCCAGTTGAACTTTTTTGTATCATGTATTTCAAAATAATGATAAAGCATTTCCTTAGGAATACACAGTATTGCTCTACTGGTCTTATGAATTTTTCTTAAAATTTAAATAATAAAATTACTAGTGAGCCATTTCAACCTCCTTTTTAAGTTTGAATTTTTGCTTTTAAATTGATAAACTTTGTCAGCACATTGTGTATTTCACATGGTCCTTGCAATTTTCAATTAACTTCATTGAGGAGCTCAGCAAGGTCCAACGTGTTTTGAAGCCAATAATTTACCTTTCAAGAAGTTTTTCAAAGTGAGTATAATTCACAAGTTTTTTCAATTCATCTCTTAGCTCATAAACTCTCAATAAATCTCTCCTTGAACAGTCAGTCTGCTTTAGTGCGAAACAGCACAGACAGTTCTTCGGAACCCATTTCTTCACCTAAAACTAAAAAGAGAAGCAGATATGGAAGTTTAGATGTTATTGGGGTCACCTTTTTTATGACAACCTTTTATGTGGAATTCAGACCCACAGGCAATGTTTATATAACAAAGATTTTCTGTGAATAAATACTGCTTGAATCTCAAGATTTTCAGAATGAACTTGATGACATAGCCTTCTTGCCATTACAGCCTCACCATCAGACGTGAACTCAAGTGGTATTTACAAAATCTATTTCAAGTATTCATCTACTTCTTTGAATGTTTCACCCCAACAACTTGGTTTGGTTCTTCTTTGCAGGACAAATGGTGTTGTTCCAAGCATTTCTCAGCAGAGTTTCTTTCTAACTGGTGCTATTAACTATGTTCAGTTACTAATGACTGTGGACTCACCAATCTCCCAGACTGTTTTGATGTGGTCATCTTCTAGACCAGGGTGAAAAAAACCCAAAAAACATAAAAAGAAAAACTCTTGTTTTTTGGAGCTTTTAAAATTGCTCTTGTCTAAACTTTAAAACATTTAAATCGTTTTTTCCCTTTGAGATGGATATTTTGTGTTAAGGAGCCAGCTTGGTTTGCAGTGTGGTACAATTTCTTATTTTGATGCTTCCACATAAACAAGATATCTAAGCTGAGGAAAAGAAAAATAATGCAGAGAAATGCAAATTTGAGATAATACTCACTATATTGCCTAATTAGTGACAAATGTTTGTGGACTATTTTATCTTGTGACTATGATGATGTTCCAGCAAATACATTACTGTGGGAAAATAAAATAATTTTAGAAATGAAATCTAGTTAAACAAAAATACTGTAGAAAATTATAAGCCTTTATGGCTTCATAAATTGGCTTTTTAGAAAATGCATGTTACCTGCACTTTAAGACTTGGAAAAATAGCAAAAAATAAGCATAGAGTAGGCATTTAAATGTTAAATTTTATTTAATTCAGTATTAAAATTGTGGAAAACTGACAAAATATAAATATTATTTTCATTCATGTCATTCAAAAATATTTTGAAAATTTGGCTTTCTGAAGCTGTAAAGGCGTAGAGTCCCTTTCAATGAATCAATTTAATTCAAGTATGTCCAATTGTTATTTTTGAAAGAAATATTTTTTAATTTATAAAAACAAACAATAGTACATTATTAAAACCCATCAAGAATCAGATAGACTAGCAGTTAATATCTATAGGCATTAGAAAAAAGAAAGAACAAAGAAAGGAATTAAGGAAGGAAGGGATAAATTGGATAATTCAGAAAATTAGGAAAGTCAGTTTTATGCTCTTTAGAAATACCTAATATTAGCTTATGTTAGTAATACTGATTATGATGATTATGAACATAGATAGCAATCATACATTCCATTGATGTCAGTAAAAAATATGAACATTAGAGTGGATTAAATCAAAAGAAAAAATATTTTAGAGTATCACAAACCAAAAAAAATCACTGAAGACAAACAAACCTGGACTAAAGTAACAATAGCAGCCCAGGAAGATTCGCTGGGGCCGTCAGGGGAGCAGCCTCTCAGAGCTCTCTAGCTGTGATGCTTGCCAAAGTCTTAGGCAGAAAATAATGGTTATTGAACACAGGGAGTTTATAGAGGGAGCCATTGCTTTCAAATACAATTTTAACTACTATGAAATTTTGAATGGTTGTAGAAAACATTTTGCAAGTTTATCACCATAAAAAATTTATGTCTGTCAAGCCATTTGTGATCCACCTGTGGTTATCGCCCACTGACTGAAAGCATCATGATGTTCTCCCAGGCATCCGTGTCTCTCTGTTTCTTCTTGCCTTTGAAAAGAGGACAGTATCAGTGGGTGGGGAAGCTAGGAGCTGGTGAGGTACCCAGGGAAGCAGTTGTTGGGAATCCTGTATTTCTACTGTAGTTTGAGGATGATTGGTCAAGGAAGTTTAACGGCACAGAAGGCATTGGCTTTGCAAATGATCTCAAGTTTTTCTTTAGAGCAAGAATAATGGAGAGACAGTGAGAAACTGGAAGGATTTAAAGCACGAGTTGATTGGAATGGTCTTGGGAGAGAAAGATCCTAAGAGATTTGGGACCAAACTAGAAGGATCTGGAAGAACCAGGAGGCTGTATCTTCCAGGAAGTTTGAACATGAAGGTCCATATCCACCTTAAGCACGTAGTTATGGATGCTGGTGTTGAGGCAGCATGGCAAGAGCTTCCTGGGGGAACAGAACTGATGGTTAAGAATGCCCAACTGGGGACAATCTGGAGCTAAAGCATCAATATCAAATGGGGAAACCCCTCAGAGATGGGGAAGAAAGATGAGGAAATGCTAAGGTAAGCCTATAGTAAGCTAGAGGCTGAAGGCTGAACCGTTCTGGAACCTACTTCAGAAGGAAAAAGAGAGATCAAAGTAACTGGAGAGTCAGACTGGGAAAAACCAGGAATGAGCTGGTCAGCATAAAAACAGGATGTGAGGGCAGAAAAAAACCTTGAGATCACAGGAGATCAGATAGAGTAGAAGGCTAGATCAGGTTTCCTAGGAGACAACTGCTGCTCCGGTAAGGCTAAAGGCTCAATGACATTTTGAAGCACCAACCTGGGGTGTTACCTTGTTCCACCCTTCTGCATCTTAAAAAGGATATAAACTGGCTCTCCAAGAGAAGGGAGTTCTCTTGAGATGGGTCTAGGCCACGCTTGCATCAGGGTAGGAGTTCATGGAGATGGGGAAGGGTTCATCAAGGACAAGCGGGTCAGGGAAGTGGGGAACAGAGCATTCTGATGGAACCCACTGCTGCTTTAGATAGACATAAATGACTTGGGTATGGCTTTAACCATTTCACTTTCCATACTCTCCCACCTTTCCTCTATTCATTCTCCAAATCTTCTGCCCAACTTCTTCCCCTCCAATCTTCTACCCCAACCATCAGTCTATATGATAGATTTTCTGACAACCCAATTACTTTTATGAAGATGAGCTCATGTGAATGTGTATCAGTATGTACAGGTATTCTTGTAAATTTTTCAACCCCTCTCCCATCTTATTGCACTTACCTCTATTCTAGCAACTATCACGTTGCTTTGTGATTCTTTAACAGTCTATAACCCTCTGTGGGCTGCAAGCCTTTGAGATCGGCGTCCTTATCTTACTCATCTTGCTGTCTTCTGAGCCAGCATTATTCTTGAAATGTTTTTGATTGAATATTAGAAAATTCTGCATGTTCCTGGAATTCTAGCATTCTAATGCCTCTGATGGTTAAGGGATAGGGAATTCCATGAAAAGGAAAAAAGTTAATCTTGTTAAGAATGAATCATAGGATCATTGCCCCTCAGGATTATGGACTTGATGCAGAATAATCACCACCACCTCCATTACCCTTACCAATACTCTCACAACTAAGGCTTGAACAGGAAAGTCTTTATGAAGTAACTGTCCAGCTGTAGTAAGGCACAGCACAGCCACACTCACATGGTCTCATGCCTATTTTGACCAATTTAGACTCAAGTTTGGGACCAGAGGCAAGCATAACCTTCATTAATTTTAAATCATCCTCTCAAGGGATCAGATTAAAAAGAGAAAACTTGAAAAGAGGGAGAGAAAAACAAGGATTTTCCAAAAGGGATAGTCCTGAAGAAATTTAAAATACTTCTGTGATGTCATCTTGAGTGAGGTTGCTTTACATACTAAGGTGGATTTTCCTCTTACTCAGTACTCGTTTATACAGCAGGCTGCACTCTCTCTAGAGGGCACACTTAGAATTAGCGGAGAGTTTGAGCGAAAGAACTTTCTCTCCTGGTTTGGAATTTGACATGTATTTTTCTCTCCCTTGTCCTCTTTTGGTTACTTCCATTTTCTCCTTTCTGTCTACCAATTTCCTAAAACACATAAAAGTGTAGTACAGAGTTCTTTTGGAACATTAAATGCCAGTCAATTCAAACTCCTTGGAGGAAACTATGGGTTTAAATAATACCAAATAATTATCTATCTAAATAATATCTATTAAATAATAATTGTTAATATTAATAGTTATATTAGATGTTAGATATGAGTGATTATCTATTAAATAATTCAATCAAGATTAATTGGCTTCCCACTCTCTCTACATGATTAAAAAAGGGAAATTTCTGCAGTGTGTATCTTGAAAATGTCTCTCCCTTTTATCTTTTTCCTCTTAGATTATAAGGCTTTTGAAGAGGCAGCCGAACACTTCCAGCCTTACATCAAATTTTTTGCTACCTTCGACAAAGGAGTAAGTATCCGTGAAACCTCAATTTGAACACTTCTGTAGGTGCAAGGATTAAAGTTTGAACTTTCCACCACCTTTTCTTTTAGCAACATTAACCATCCTCCATCCATTAACACTTTCTCCAGAAGTGTTAGAAATATGTCAGTAAATCACTACGGAATGAGAGATGAGTACAAAGATGATTAATTCAGAGGATGGAGGGTATTTCTGAAAACATCCAATGAAAAGTGATGAAGCATTCTTTATCACCTTAAACACTAAGAATGGGAAGCGTGTGAGCCCAGAGTGTGCCAGGACACTGGCCGCTGCTTGCTTTTTGTTTAGAGTATCCTCTCCCTTCCTAGGGTTGCGTACTTCCCCCTCTCCTGGGTTAGGATGGGGGGTGGAATGAGGAGGAGTCCTGGGGGCTTCAGAAAGTCACCTGCATCTTCAGGAGACGGCGTTGATGCACTTGTCTACCATGCAATTGCTCTTTATTTTCTGGATGTGTCAAGTGCTTTTATATGCCAAACAACAGCAGAGATAGAGGGATCTTTAATCAATGGGGAATTTATTTGGGGTCTACTGTGGTCTGAGTACTCCACTCTGGCTCCAGTTACAACTAAAATGGCTACTATTTATCAACTGCTTTCTGTGTGTTGGGCACAATTTGATATATTGCATTTATACTATCTCTAATCCTCTAAACAACTCTGAAAAGTAAGAACCCCCACTTCCCAGATGAGAAAAAAAGATTTAGAAAGGTTAAGTAATATCCCGGGTCTCCAGTCAGTTAATGATAGTGCTAAGATCCCAATTTAGGATTATGAGTGCCCAAAATGCATGCCCTTTCCTCTGTACCATACTATTAAGTAGAAGACTCTGTACCTTCCCTTGAGATTCAGCGTGCATACCCACGCACCCACACTCATGCTCACACTCACAACCACGTAACATACTACATACATGTAACGCACCCAGCACATACATACACAACACACATACATATAACACATACATAACACATACAATATATACACTTACGCTTGCACAACACACAAACATAACACACTCAAGCATACCCACACTCACATACTTACAACACCCACAATACACACACACTCACACATCCACACATATAATTCGCACACACACACCCCCAACTAGAAGCCCTAGATCACCATTTTTACTAGAACAAATAAATCTAGGACAAACTAAGTCCTGACCAAATTCCAGTAAAAGTTCATCAGAGAGTGTCCTGCTGGGGAGTAAGGCAGTTGGTGAGCAGTGCTCACGGGCCTTTATGCTATGAGGAGTTCAAGTATTCTGCAAAAAACAAGAGGAGGCCTGTAGGTGCTGGGGCCTCCTGTAGGGAAGGAGTATGAGAAGAGATTGCATTCAGTTCAGACACATGTTGACCCACTTCAATGGATATGGCCCTGTTTAGCAGCCTGTAATCCAGAAGAGAAGTCTATAATCTAAGTAATATAATCTAAACTTGAAGAAAGTTTACCCTAATTGGTTGGATTAGAGTTGGGAGAGATCTTGAGCAAGAATACCAAAAAGAATAATAATTATCACCTATTAAGTGCTTTTTGTGTACCAGACTTTGTGCTAAGAGCTTTACTTATGTATTCTCATTTAATCCTCTCACCACCCCTGTAAAAGAGGGATTAGTATGCTTCATCTACAGAGGATGAAACTGAGGCCCGGAGAGATTAAGTGATTTGCTCATGGTCACATAGCTGGTGAGTAGTGAAGCTTAATATAATCTCAGGTCAGCCAGACTTCAAAGTCAATGCTCTGTACCGCTATACTCCAAAGAAGCAATGCATGTAAAATGTGTAGCTGGCAACTGGCACACAGTAAGCATTTGGTAAATGTTAGCTACCACTGTTGTTCATAAAAGGCAGTCATCTAAGCCCAGGAGGGTGGAGGTTGGGAGAGGATAGTGGTGGAGAAGGAGAGGTACAGAGAAGCTAAGCTGAATCCATCACTGATGTTTAATTATGATAGGCCAGGAGTGACTAAGGTGGCTCCTGGGAAAGAACTCATCTGAGGGGAGAGAGTCAGGCAGACAAGCTTGGCCAAGCAACAAAACCTCAGTTCTTAGAACCGAGTTGAGGGTAGTGTCTGCTTTCAGATGTGCCTCTCAGCCCAACCATACGGCTTCATGCCTGTGGCCCACGGAGAAAGGGAGGTCAGGCTATAATTAAAAATTCAGGAGGCTCTTCACTAAAAACTCTGTAAGACACTGAGTCATAAGAGGCCCTGTTCATGTAGCCTTGTGGGACTGTATAACATTTACAGTCATGCGCTGCTTAAAGATGGGGATATGTCCTGAGAAATGTATTGTTAGGCAATGTTGTCACTGTGCAAACATCATAGAGTGCACTTACACAAACCTAGATGGTGTAGCCTGCTATACACTTAAGCTAGATGGTACTAATCTTATGGGACCACCATCTTATATGCAGTCTGTTGTTGACCTAAACGTCATCATGCGGCCATGACTGTAAAAAGAGAGAGACACACTCTCTACCTCCTTGTGGAACCTGGGGGGAAGGGCTGTTGCACACAGAGGACTTGATGCCATTTGGGACTTAAGAACTTGCACCTATCAGTTAGAGAGCTGGGGGATAATAGTGTCCAAAAGGAGGTGGTGGGGTCCAGAGGCATGGCTGCACCCAGTAGAAGCCTCATAACGTCCAGCAGGCGGTGCTAGAGCAGAAGAGGTGGCTGAAAAGACCTGTTTGTGAGACACACCTTAGGGAATCCCAGAGGGACCTGGGGGAGGAGAGGCGCTTTGTAGAGGTTTGAAACCAGGAGAGCCAAGGGCCTAGGAAGCACTAACACAGCCCCGAAGATACAAAACCAATAAATATATTATATTAAACACATATATATGAGTTGGAGAACTGTGAAGAGGGTGAGATGTCAGGGCTGCTGGAGTAGATTTGGGAGTTAGGAGTTTCCCACCACAGTCCATATTGGTATCTCCCAAGGAACTTTTAAAACCATGCATTCCTGGGCCCCACGCCTGGAAATTTGGATTTTTTAGGATTGTGACCAGGCCTAGATATATGCATTTTCAAAAAGCTCCCTGGGGAATTTTACCTGGCGCACAGGTTTGGGACCAGCACTAATCTATGGCTCCTGATCCTGAATCAAGCCCCATGAGGGCCCAACCTCTCTAAAGCAAACGGAGCAAGATAGAGTCTGAGGGCTAAGGATGGCGTCTGCTCTGCTGCACCTCACAGCCTGAAACATGTCGGTTCTAACTACCCCATGTCTCGTTCTTTTCTTGGAGTGAATAGTGAGAAGCAAAATCATTTTTTTGAATGATATTGGGGCAAAAGAAGCTATGATTATCTAAACCAAGTTAATGGAGAAGACAGACGTTGAGAAAGCCTAAATTCACTGAGTTGGTTTCACTGACAACAACTGAAATGGCTTGCCAACTTGTAGAAAAAACATGTATCAACATTAATACACATGCAAATGTCAGGAAAATGGCCATTGTCTTTGGCAAAATCCATTCCAACTAGTTAAAAAAAAAGGAGAAGAAAGAAGCATAAAAGAACTCATTATATGGACCTCTTCAGCTTTTAACAGTAAAATCCATTCTTACATAATTGTACTATCTATGAACCACGGCTGGTCCCAGAACAGTACCTTGGATACAGTTGGCCCCACTAAATATTTACTGAGTAAACGAAGGAATCAATGCCTCAATCAATCAAATCTCCTTCAGTCTTTACCATGCAAGACGCAACGAAACGAATGAAAGAAAGGGATCCCCTGAGACTGCAAGATGAGGGCACTCAGTGGTGGTGGTGAGGATGCAGTGAACAGGCCTCTGGAACATTTTGCTCAGGGTTCCCAAGACTGAAACTTAAGAATGTCACAATCCAGCTTTACGTTTATGGTCTTAACGGTCTTAACACTGCAGACCCAGATACTGGCACTCAAGGAGCAGGGAGAGACACACATACACACGTATGCACACTCACAGGCACAGGTGCATCTACACTGCTTACCATGAGGGAGGTTCTGGTGAGGTCCTCTTCACCTTTAGAAAGGCTTAATTCTACAGACTGTGAGGGGGGATGACTTGATGAGAGCATGTTACAAGAGGAACAGGGGAACATCTCACTAAAATACGTGCAGAGCCAATGTCGTATTTAAAGGGACATATATTCCTTTCTGTACCGTCTCAAGGACAAGGTAGTTTTCAAATGAAGGGAAAGTGGAATGGAGGCAAATTGGTAGTTCAGAACATTCCACTGCCTGTGTTTGAATCCGGGCTCGATCCCCTTCCAGGCATGCGATCTTTACAAACTGCATACTCAGACTGTGCCTCAGCTTCATCATTTGTTAAATAAGGATAATAATAGTTCTTACCTCATACAATCAAACTGAGGATTCATAAAGTAATCAACCTAAAACACTTTGCAACAGTGCCTGGCACACAGTAAGCACTCCACGTGCTCGCTCTTATTACTGTTTTCTTTCATCCAGTCACTTCACATAAGCAGTTTCCTGGTTCCTACACTATGAAGTAAGTGAACTCAGAAAACCAGAATCCAATGTCATTTTCAAGCCCATTCTGTGGGACGGGCCCAGCTTTGAGAAGAACCCTGTGTAAACCCAAACACTGGTTTTACAGTTGCTATTTTCACCCCCATGCTCCCCACCCCATCATCCACACCACGTCCCCCCACCATAAAAGAGGAAAGAAGTAAGAAAAAAGCCCACACTTCCTTGTCTCTTAAAATCAACATGCCCATAAAATCTCCTTTGACTGACTGTAGCTCTTCACTCAGACTGTTTGCTTTATCTCTGAGTAGGATGCTGGCGTTTCTGGACCTTAAGTACTGTCAGAAATGTCTTAGAATATAGTGACCTGGAATTAATAGCAATTGACGACAAAAACCATGCAGATGCCAGTGTTTCCTGAGAATGGACGTCCTTGTGTAACAGCTTATGTAACACCCAGTTGCCCCCCCCTTCCCCAATTACTCCCTGCTGACCTGGGCCTCTGCACCATTGGTTACCACCACAGGGCGTCAGCTCTTAGGCAATTCCTCTTTAGTTTCAAGGGAACCACTGTTCATCTCTGTGCTTTCTTGGGTCACAGCTCTGAATTAGAAAAGAATGGCATTTGCTTTTCTACAGAGCATTGCACATTCCAGGCCTCTCAAATCATTTCACAAAAAGAAGTCTGAGTTCAGCAGCTCTCCAGGGGAACACAGCAACCATTCTGCCCTGACAACAGACTGTGTGACCACTTAACCAAGAGAGGAGATGTCATCCAGGCTTTGGGTTGGCTCCCCGAGCTTTTTATCTGGTACAGAGTGAGCAGCCCATCCTCGATTGCTGGGTACTATCCCAGTTTTAGAACTGAAAGCCTGAATCCTGGGAAACCCCTCCACTCTGACAAACCAGGATGGTCAGTCACCTTATGACTGGTAACAAAGCAGGCAGCTCCCAGCACCTGAGAAACCATCAAACAAGCCCAGGACTGAGAGATAACCATACGTCCCGTGCTTCAATCCATATAGCAAGTAGGGTTTATGAGCTGATCAGTGGCTGGCCTCTGATTCTGAGTACCATCAGTTAATTATTCTATCAAAATTGGTTCAATCAAATACAGTCAATCCAGGACACTGAGCATACTCTGTTGCCGTTTGCTTCCTCCTCCAGCCCTGGCAAATACAGTGGAGTAATGGTGACTGTAGAATTAAATTTCCCACTTTTCGTTCCAATTGCTCCCTGCCCCTGCGTCGAGCATGCACTTTCATGTTTTTGCCAGAGAACGTATACACTTCTTGTAAATGGACAACCCACTGCCACTCCAAACCAAGGAAACAAATTCAAGGAAACTATTTTCTTATTTCCAATTACTACAGGTTGCAAAGAAATTGTCCTTGAAGATGAATGAGGTTCACTTCTACGAGCCATTTATGGATGAGCCCATTGCCATCCCCAACAAACCTTACACAGAAGAGGAGCTCGTGGAGTTCGTGAAGGAGCACCAAAGGTGCCCCCAGATGGCATGCAGGGGGTTGGGGGGCGGGTTGAGGGTTTGGGGAATGGAGAAGAGCTGCTCAGTCCTGACATTTCAGACCCCCAAGAGCAACAACCTGGAGCTGGTACCCTAGCAGAACTGAACTCAGTAGTATGGTTTTGTTGGTCATTGATCAGTGGCAGGGATGTTGCTACATTTTCTGAATATGGGTCTCCACTTGTAAGCAGGGTTAGGCCCTCTCCCCCAAGTCAGCAAATCCCCTCAAAGTCAGAGTAAGAGATCTTTCAAGTAAAATTGTACAATAATAATGATACTAATTTAGTGACAGCCTCCTATATGCCAAGTAACATGCTAGATGCTTATGGAAGCTATTTTATCTAATCTTCAACATTAAGGGGTAATTAGGATTATCCCACTTTTACAAACCAAGGGGTTGGGCTCAGAGTAGTTAAATAACTTAGCCAAGGGTGAACATTCTATACATAGAACTTCTGGAAGAGGAATATTTGATACCACTCGGAGTAGCTTTAGCATAGATTAGTCAACGTTTTCCGTAAAGGGCTGGATAGTAAATATTTCAGGCTTTGTGAGCCAGATGGTCTCTGTTGCAACTACTTAATTCTGTTGGCAGTAAATGTGGAAGTGGCCATGGACAATATGTAAACAAATGGGTGTAGCTGTGTCCTAATAAAAGTTTATTTATAAAAACAGGAGGCACTGGCTGGCTTTGGCCCACCAGCTGTAGTTTGGTGACCCCTGCTCTTGAGGGAGGGACAATATCAGAACATGGAACATGGTAGGGAGTTCCCCACTTTGTCCCTCTACTCTCCCTGACACATGCTCTTATATGTTCATTGAGCCTGGAACCATGATTCCCTCACCTGGTCAGTCTTAGTCCCTACAGAGAACAGAGGTTGGAGGAAGAAATATCAACAAGTCTAGCACTATTTGCCAACATTCAAAAGAAGTGAAACCATGAGCAATAATACATCCTACCTGTTCCTCCAATCATCCTTAAAGGATATTTGATGGATGACCCTGGTGATAAAACAGCTGCAGTTCTGAATGGGGAAAACCAGGACTTCCTGTTTTCTCTCCCAGGTCTCCTCATTCTGGGCCTGCTCTGGGATCTCAGGAGTGGTATCTGATTGTGAGCAGGGAAATGTCTTCTTACCCTGAGAATGAGCTGACCCTGCACCCTCTGACCCATTGTTTGTAATAGACTTTCTAACGGTTGGATTCAATGGGTCTGTGAAGAGGCTGAGAGCATTAGGCCCAGCCCTCAGTGTGACACAGCAGGCTGGATCTGCTCTGTCTCCTCAGGGGAGAGATGGGTTTGTAGAGCTCTTCATGCTCTTGCAAATGTACCAAAATCTCATTTTACATTTCACATTGCTGAGGCTGCGCGTCTGCCTTGGTAATCCCTACTGAAGAAAGTTCATCTTTTCTCTTTTCAGACCCACTCTACGTCGCCTACGCCCAGAAGATATGTTTGAAACATGGGTAAGAAAGTGGCAAGCTCTTTCTGCCTTGTAGAAATGGGTATATTCCCTAAAAAGAATACTCCTTTCAGTCTCACAACTCAAACCCTACTTGGCTGGGGCAGATGTCTGGATGGTGGAGTAGTTGAAACATGGACAACTTCACTCTCAATTGAACCCAATTCTCCATGGATCCCACTTAAACCTCTTTGGCCTACACACTGAGTTCATTTCCTGCAGTGACTACTGGCTTCCCTTCATTAGCCACCAGAGACCCAGAGTAACATAGTGAAAGGAGCTCAGGCTGTGGAGTCACAGAGACTTGGGTTCAAGCCCAGAATCTGCCATTGAGTAGCTTTGCATCCTATATCGAGTCATGTGGTCTTTCTGAGCTTTAGTTTCTGAATCTAAAATCAGGGCTTTCTGTAAGGATGAGTGGTGTGAAGAGCCCAGAACATAGCAGGTGCTCAATTAATGAATGGTAGCTATTTTTATAAATATCAACCCAAGGTGCTGGAAAGTGCTGAGTTGGATTGTCCCACAGGTCTATGTCATAGACAGTATGTCAGGTGGGTCAAATGGAATTAGAAAGAGGGCTTTGGAGATACCCCCCACACCCACCCTACCCCAGCTTTATACAAAATTCTATAAACAATAGCAACCAAAACCCGTGGAGCATTTTTCAAAGCATTTCATGTATCCTTTTACTTGGATCTTTCAACAGCTCTAGAAAGTGATGTAAAACAAGTATTATTTCAGCCCCATTTTACAGGGGAAAATTTACGATCATATGGATTAAATTAATTATTCAAGGATGCATGTGTGTATCTAATAAGATACTGTGTGTAACTACTAAGCATGAGATCTTGGGACTTAAACTTAGGCCATCTGGAGCCAAATCTAATATTCTCTCCAGTATATCTCCCTAGAGTGGGCCATGGGTCCATAACGCACCATTTTGGCAGTCGGGGGTGGGGCGGAGAAAGGGATTAACATGGAAGCATTTATTTCTTAATTCTTTAATTCAGAGTCTAAATTGGCATATTAATAGACTCATGGAGTAACTTGACACTTACTGTTTTACTGGCATGTAACTTACTTGGATGTCTGAGTGTAGATCAAACATTTCACACTGAAGGGCAAATAGTCCAGTCTAGAGGAGCGGACTATTTAAGAACAACTCAGCACAATAGAAACACATTTTCCTAATGTTCAAACCTTTCAAAAATTTAACCCTTAAAAGGTCTTGTTAATAGATTTAAAAATAGCAGAAGGGTATAACAATGCTTTAAAAATAATACTCCTTTTGGGGCTGGCCCCGTGGCTGAGTGGTTAAGTTCACGTGCTCCGCTGCAGGCGGCCCAGTGTTTCGTTGGTTCGAATCCTGGGCGTGGACATGGCACTGCTCATCCAACCACGCTGAGGCGGCGTTCCGCCTGCCACAGCTAGAGGGACCCACAACGAAGAATATGCAACTATGTACTGGGGGGCTTTGGAGAGAAAAAGGAAAAAAAAAGATAATAATACTCCTTTTTAAAACAGTTTTACTTTCCACTTAAAATAATTTCAGACTTACAGAAATAGTACAAAGAATTCCATTATCTCTTTCCCTAGATTCTTCATAAGTTAACATTTTACCACCTCTGCTACATCATGCTCTCTTGATAGACAGATATAGATAGAGATATAGATTATTTTCCTGAACTGTTTGAGAGTAAGAAACAAACACAATGCCCCTTTACTCCTAAATACTTTCAGATGTTTTCTAAAACAAAGGCTTTCTCTTACATAACCACAGTACACTCATCAAAATCAGGAAATTAATAGTAATACAGACCTACTATCTCGTCTATGGATCTTATTCAAATTGACCAGTTGTCCCACTGATGTCCTTTATAGCAAGGGAAAAATTTTTTTTCCTGGACCAGGATCCAATCCTGGTTTGCACATTTGCATTTAGTTGTTATGTTTCTCTAGTTGCCTTTAATCTGGAATGGGTTCGTGTTCTTTGTCATTCATGACACAGCTTAGCGTTTTAAATTGAGAGTGATTATTACTGTTACGTTCTGCTATGCCTTTACCCTTAGTTCTTCTTTTTGTTTTCTTCATCCCTAAGAGCTAAGTCTCAGTTATCTAGGCTCCTGGAAGGGAGAGACTGCAAATTCAGAACCTTCTCTCGGGACTTCCCTCACGGACACAGCAGTATCACACCCAAGACGTCACACCATAGCGGGAGGCACTCTGCCCCTCCCTCAACCGCAAACACCCCCACGCCCCCCACTGCCCTCAGAATGCTCCCTCTCACCACATCAGACGCAGATGTTCAGAAAGACACTTTGCTGTCTAGCTTCATTGGAACTTACTCTCTGCTTTCTTTTCACTTAATGAATAAGATAAGTTACAGCTTTCGCAATAATATAAAATAACAGTGATGGCTCATATTTTCCATAATATTATATATTCAGTTGTTTTCTAATTGGGAAGGGTTGTGTATTGAATTTACCCGGGTAGAGGAAAGTGGACTGCTTTCCTGCTTTGCAGCATCCCACCATGGAATACCCTCAGAGCCTCTCCAGAAGCCTGGGCAGCCCTCATCCGAGTCTCCACTTATAGACGGAAGCCAGGACAAGCCCTCCAGGGTCATCTTCACACCCTGAAAAGACAGAAGCAGAAATCAATCTGTCCAAAGGGTGTCTGGGAGCCACTGCCTGTACTCCGACCCATCACGCATGCCCACCTGGGAGGGCATTGCTCCAAGGAGCAGCATCTCCATGGGTCACCTGGCCACAGCAACTTACACCACACGTGTTGACCAATTCATGAACTTAGAAGTCTTTATCTGCAGCACCCACCTCCCCAGACATTGCAAAATATTTCAATAAGATGGGAAAACTGGGTAGGGCTACAGCAGCCATTGACCTTCTTCTCTCCCCAGTTTTGCAGGTTTTTAAAGTAGAAAATCATAGAAAACACATAATGTATTATTACTAGAGAGATTGGTGCCTAGTAATATTTGCTGTGTGTAAATCGGATATTTATCTATTTACGATATTCAAAGAATGTCAAGATGGGGCAGGGCGGTTCAGACCTACTGCTAACCTGTCCTTCTCCTTGGAGACTTCCCCTTCCCACCGGCTCTCCATCCTGACAAGTGGTCAGCAGGAGTCCTGGGCAAAAGCCCACAGGGGTGGGAGTCAGCAATTCCTTCTAAAAGAATCCTCCCTCTATTGCAATAGCAATGCAATTGCAAGAGGGACCCTGAGACCTCCAGCTGAGCCCCTACCTCACTCCTTTGCACCTTAATTGGGGAATCTGCTAGCTTTAACTACATTTTTTTCTCTGCATCTCTTCATTCAACATGACAACAAACATTAACAGAGACTGGAAAGAAACAGAGCTAAATATGAGCACTGGTAATATATCTGGTTCGTGGGTCATTGATGTTGAGTTTCTTCTTGGTATCTCTAATATTTTCCAATTTTCTTCAAACGGTATATAAAATTTTTATCACCATACTCTTTCCTTTAAGTCAATAGACATTAAGAAGAACTTGTTACGTTGTGCTAGGCATGGAGGTTAAAAAAACGGACGCTACTGTGCTGTCCTTAGGAATGCAGGTTGAGGAGATGAAACAGTCTCAAAACATATAACAGTAGTCCAGTATGACATGCCAGGGGGACATACAAAGTGCTAGGGCATCTAGAGTAAGGTGTTCACCAAAGTAACTCCCAAATTTCCACTTCTTTTGGGGACCCAGGGCTCAGTCACTTTATGGAAAGGACCCTTATTAGCCTCTTTTAAATTAGTAAGAGTCACTGACCTGAGTTTGCAACATCTTCTGCAAACCCTGCAGGGAACAATAGACTCATGGAGCCCATCCTGCCACTGTTGGTGATATGAAGGCGGAAAATTTTTTCCTCTACTCTCTTAGTTCAGTTTTGGGGGCCTGCAAATTAAACTGACAAAAGACAGATCAGCAAGAGAAAAAAATCGTTTTAATTACTTATGCATAGGAGTTCACAAAGAAATGTGACTCAAGGGGGGGCTTATATGCCATCTAACTAGGGGATTGGAAGGGGCAGAGGGGCACTTCTGGGAGAACAAATTTAGAAAAGGAGGGAAAAAAGACACAAGGAAAAACAAATGACTTTTTGGAAAGATAACGGGCCCTTAGAGGAACCGATGGGAGATATGATCGTTTTGTGATAACGTCTGTCTGAGACGAGAAGGTTAGAGTTGCTCCTGAGTGGGGATTTATGGCAACTGAGTTCCTTTGAGAGGCTCTGCTTTTAGGCAGATAAGGGATTTCAGGAATTCAAATGCGTTCAGCTCAAAATAGTTTTTATGCCACAGTGGCTTATTCTGGACCCTTCAGTCCTGAGTAGAGAATGCGCTTTGGGGCTGGACAGGACTGGCGTGAATCCCAGTTATGTCATGTACTAGCTCTGTGACCTTAGGTAAGTCACTTCAATTCTTAAGGATTAAATAGGAATAAGACTTTCATTCGAGATTCATTTGAGACTGATACAAAGAGTGGCAAATGGCAGGTATTGTTGCCATTTTAATCATCGTCATTATTTTAAGACATCATCCCTTCCCTCAGAGATCTTGCCATCTGGCTGAGAAGGGAAGATTTGTGCTCTTAAAAAGATGATTTCCAAGGCAATGGGATCTAAAGACCAAATGGGTGCTCTGGGCAGCAAGGCTGTGGGTTCAGAGAAAGCCCCGGGGTGGTCCCGATCTCCTCAGCTCTTCTTCACTGTGCACACTGGATCCTCAGCAAGCAACCCTGACTCACAGGCTTGCCCGTGGAGTCTTGCTCTGTGAGGTTATTACCCACAATACCTGGCTCCGAGCATGTGCCTGCTTCTTCACAGTTGTTCACTATAGGTTGACGTGCTGAAGCTTTGAGACCCACAAAGAGAGAGCCTCTTTGCTTGGTTACAGTGCTCCATCCAGGGACCATCTGAGGCCTGGGAAGTGACAGCCATATTATGAGCAGTCTCTTAGCAAACGAATATGGATTCTTAATTTTAAAACCAATTTCCAAACGCTTTCTAGAGGGGCACACAGAAATGAAGCCCGCTTCACAGAGTTAACACCACTCTCTTCCAACTGATGGCAGGAGGCAGAGACACGGGGCAGCCTAATGAGAACTGATCAGGATATTCTGTCTGGCGATAATAGCAAATGTAAAACAGTGAAACCTCAGACTTCCCTTCTGGTTGCTGTCGGATTTGTGTAATAAACCTCTGCACACACACGCGCACACACACATATATCCGTAAAGTTCAATTCCCCAGAGAATCTGACCAAGGCACTGCCCACTCTCTTGTTTTTAATAATAATATTTTCCATTTAATCTCACTTAGAATTTTTGGAGGTTTTGTCCATTCCAAACTCAAAGGAAAAAAATTAGCATTTAGATAGAATTGCACCAGCATTAAAATCAATTGAAATGAAAACGGGGATCATGGGAGGGTTGAGATGCCTGGAGTTTTTTTCTGCAGGATGATTCTGATATGACATTCAGGGTGCCACATGCAGGCCTCTCCCTGTGTCAGCGATAATCAGTATTCACTCAGATGTGTCCCCGGTGCCTCGTTCTCACACCTCTTTCTCTCCAAGTCTCCTGAGGATAGCATTTCTTATACAGAGGCCCCTCCAAGCTCTCGCTCTTCCTTCTGCGGGAATAATCAATGCACAGGAGACACAGGCATATGGGCCTTTCTGTTCAGGATGTAGAAACATGGAATGCTACTTGCTTGCCCGTGGATGTGAGATACTCTCCCTAGATTTTTTTGCCTCGTCCCAGTCTCCACGGCCATACCCACTTTTTACCGTCACACCCTCAACCTTCTCTCGCCCTAAATTCCGGACTTTCCCTGTAGCCTCCCACACACATATTCTGCTTCAGCAAGCTTTGGTTCCAGAGCAGAAAGGACCCCAAGGAAACAGCCTGGAGGTCACAGTCAACAAGGTGCCCCACCCCGACCTCACAGGTTCTGTTTCTTCAATAAGAGATGTCTTAACAGAGAAGCACAAGTGTCTATGATTCCTTTGTGAACAAAACAGACCCACATCCTAATTTGCCTCAAAGAGTCCGACCTGCTGCCTGTTTGGGGACAGTTTCAGGATCTGTCAACAACATTCAGAAGTTTCCATAATCTGGTACATGGCTGATTATATTTGCTGGGGATGAATTCTTGAAGCACAGACTGACATCCGCATTCACTGAGCTGCGTTCAGTGCTTGTTGCCCTCAGAGCTCCTGACGAGCCAGACTCACATTCTTCCTCATTTTGCCTTTTACTGCTGCTCTCCTGGACCCGCCAGACCACGGGAGTGAGGCCCATTCAGTGCTAATGTCTTGTGTGCAGTTGGTGTTTTCTTGTCTTGCAAACCCATTTATCAAACTCCACGCATGCCTCCCAGCTGCTCGTCAGTATTCCCTTCCTCAACGTGCACCCTGCTCGGCCCCCCTGTGCCCCGGTGTCCCCCTTCACTCCCCCTCCACCCCCTCCCAGCCACCCATTTCCATGCCAGCCTCTGAGCCTGTCCCTGACATGCTCCCACTTGGGAGTGTAACCTTTGATTCTTTTCTCCCACAGGAGGATGATTTAAATGGGATCCACATTGTGGCCTTTGCAGAGAGGAGTGACCCAGGTAGGAAACCCTGAATCTGTTCTTTTTCACCTTAAGTAAGAACTGACTTCTCACCTTTGTCGGCCCCCACCCTCCCTCTTCCCTAAATGAACGGCACAGTATTGGGCACCCCCTGGTGGTTGCCTGTGAGGCACGCATCCATTTTCACTTATGCACGTAGCTGGGAGAAGAGGTGTGCATACATCAGAACCTCGTTCTGCTGAGCTGCCCAGCTGGGAAGAAGCAGTGAGCACTGAGGAGGGTACTGAAACATCGTAGCCTGACAGGCTGTGTGGGGTGTGTGTGTGTGCATGTGTGAACTTCTGTTCACATTAAAAGTTTCTTTACCAATTTTGTGATCATCTATATAAAAAACAATCCTACGTTAAAATAATAATAAATGTACCGTTTGGTTTGTAAAATATTTTCTGTGCTTCGTAAATGTAATAGATAATATTCCCCCAAATAATGAGAACTGGGCAAAATAGGCAGCTTTTTTCTAGAGTGCAAAATGACCCCATAAATGGACGAGTAACGACGTTTTTCTTTTGGAACTTGGACAACATTTTCCTGGTTTCACTCTTTTGAACATCAGTAGAGAGTGAAGTGCAGGAAAAGTTAGTTTTGCAGGTGGTAAAATGCTGGGTCCCTTTGTCAGTGCTCTGTGAGATAAAAGGACCCCGAAGAGAAAGTGTACGTGGAGATTCTGAAGCGTGTTTTGGGAGACATGGAACAATCTAGAATGCAACCAGAAAAGGCAGGCAACTTCGTTTAGGATGGCTAAGCAGCCAGGCCTTGGGCTATGAGGTGCCTGTGCAGGGGTTCCCAAACCTGATTGTGCAGAGAACCATGAGTGCCAACACAACCTGGGGCTGACTGAAACGACACCTTCAGGAACCTGTCATTCATGAGGCTGTGGCAGTTCTGATGCACCACTGGGTTTGGGAACCACTGCTCCAGCTAATGTAGAACTACATGGTATTTTCCAGGGATTTCAGCCTCTTGTATATTCATAGGGACAGACAAGGAAACAGAGGCTTGGAGAAGTTAAATGAACTGCCCAAGAGGGCACAATGAGGTAGTGGTAGGCCATGAAGAAGGGACAGATTGTCTTTCAACATAGCCGTGCTTCTTGCACATGCCTTGACACATAGTAGGTACTCAATAATACCTGTTGGGCAGATGGTTAGATATGCAGATGACTGGTCAAGACTGAGCCCCAACTCTTCACTATCAGACCAGCATTTGTTTTTATAATGCACTGTCAGCCTCCACAGAGTCTTCCAGACTGAAGCCTAAATGTTTTTATCTTACTTTTTTTTCCCTTTGGTGAGGAAGATTCGCCCTGAGCTAACATCCATTGCCAATTCTCTCCTTTTGCTTGAGGAAGATTGCTGCTGAGCTAACATCTTCACCAATCTTCCTCTATTTTGTATGTGGGACACCACCACAGCATAGCTTGATGAGCAGTGTGCAGGTCTGTGCCTGGGATCCGAACCTGCGAACCCTGGGCCACTGAAGCAGAGCATGCGAATTTAAGTGCTACACCACTGGGCCAGCCCCCATAGAATTTTTTAAATTGAGATATAATCCACACATCATACCACATATTCACTCTTTTTAAAGGGTGCAATTCAGTGGCTTTTAGTATATTCACGAAGTAATGCAAATATCACCACTATCTAATTCTAGAACATTTTCATCACCTCAAAAGAAAATCCCATACCTGTTAGCAGTCACATTTCCCTCTCCCCCAGCCCCTGGCAATCACTAACCTACTTCCTGTCTCAGTGGATTTGCCTATTCTGGACATTTCACATAAATGGAATCATGTAATGTGTGGCCTTATGTGCCTGGCGTCTTTCACTTAGCCTAATGTTCCCAAGGTTCACCCGTTATGTAGGATGTATCAGTACTTCACTCCTTTTTAGGGCCAAATAATATTCCACTGCATCAAAACCAAATTTATGTTCCAAATTATCTGTTTCCTTCTCCCCTTTTTTTATTAAAATTTCTGAATGTCCACTGATATCCCGGTTTTCCCATCATCGACTTGAAGAGTTGGAAAAACTCTTCAAGGATATCTAGTACTTATCCAAAAAAGTATGCTAGTGTAGTTCCAGCTTCTTTCCACAGATTTTGGCCACCCCTCTCTGCCCTTGGAGAAGAAAATATCAAAGAAAGCCCGTTGCTGAAGGTTTACAAGCTGTAGGCAAACAGAATCAGATCCCCGGTGCTGTGTGACAGAGATGAAATTGCCATCAGCAGCAGCCTGCTGGCCAGACTCCAGGGGGCTTCCTTCCCGCCCCACTTGCCCCCTTCCAGGATTGTGGGGAGGCCTGTCTGGCTCTCTGGAACAATGGAACAAAGAGGCCTCCGAGAGTTGCAGGAACCTGTTTGACCGAGATTGCTGCTGTCATGAATCAAGCTCCTGAAACTACTTCCACCTCCTCCCTTCGCAAATATCCCTGGGCTCCAGGCTGGGCCTTTCCCCAAAGGAGCCCAAGCTGGGGCTTGTTACTGGGAAGCTGGGAGAAATGCGCTGGGGGATGGGGGGTGGGGAGGAGGAGCTCAGAGCATCTTTCCTCAGCCAGGGAGGGCCTGGCCTGCTCAGGGCTGGGAAAGGGAAAGGCATTTCTGTGAAAGTCCCTGACTCTGCAGCTAGTCAGTCATTACCCGCAGGTCACTGATGTGTAACCTGGGGCGGAGGGGCCTGGCTGCAGGACCAGGAATTCCATTCCTGCCCAGACAGCGGTTCCTCATATGCATGCCTTTGCTCTTGCCAACAAGCTCTATCTACATGGCCTATTGCCCCAACCAAACCCCTACCCACTTGCCTACGGAAGAAGGTCCAGGAAAATAATACAGCTCTCCTCAGAGAGCTAACAGTCTTGAGGAACTGTGCTCTATGGAGATGATCTCATTGGGTCCCTAAAACCACTCTGCGATATTTGCATGATTATCATCATCCCAGGGTCAGATGAGAAAAGCGAGTCTTAGAGGTCAATTGACTTGCCCAATTAACTCACCAGGAGTTACCTAAGCCAAGATTCCAGTTTTAGCAGGCTTGCTTGACCTCTGAATTCACCATGATTATGATGAAGAAGATGATGATGATGACATTGTATGATTATGTGACATAACAACCCCGTGTGGGAGGGACTAGTTTTAGTCCCATTTTACAACTGAGAAAGCTGAGGCCGAGAGAGGTTGACTCGCTGGGAAGCAGTGGAGCTAGAATGAAGCTGAGGACTGTCTGGCTTCCCAGCCCACACCCTAACCACAAGGCTCTGCTGCGGACTTGTCCGCCCTCTGAGTTACTACCCCTGACGACATCTGAGTGATCGTTCAGGCTGCCCTCCTTCCTCTCTGCTGTCCTCCATCACCCGCTCCACCTCCAACATTTGAAGACCCAAAGAAGTTCTGGGTGCTCGAGATCATATGGTTAGAGGTGCAGCAGACACACGAGCCTAGATTTCTCAATGGCTCCACTGGGCACCATCCACCCAACCACACCATTCTCCCAGGCTGTCCCAGCCAGCTGCAGGCTCTGAGTGTGCACACTGCTGCTGCAGTGTAACGGGGGTGGGGCAGAAAAAGCAGGAGAAAGGAAGATGGAGGTGAGAAGAGAATTGAACCCCCAGGAAGCTTGAGAGCCCAGTTAATGAAGAAAAGTCAAACTTCCTCCCTCCTGTCCACTGATGTTCCCAGATTTGGAATCTAAGGTTACACGCAGCAACAACAACAAATGTCTCTGTGTGACTGGAGTCCTCCAAGGACTCTTCTCCTGGCGGTTCTGATATTCCCAGCCTGGAGGTCGCATTCAAGGCTGGCAGACAGCGTCTGCTGTCTTCGCCCTGGAGCTGAATCCCTAGGTCTCTTCTGCAGCAAGCTCTCATGCGGCTGCCCACAGGCAGGCCTGGCCGGGAAGGACATTTCCGGCTCTCAGCTCTTGCCCGTGTCCTGGGTGCTGCTTGTCTTCCTCCTCCAGCCTCCTCTTGGGTCCCTGCGCTCGGAATGCCGCTGGAGCTGCGGTTTGACAGCTTTGAAAATGAACGACTCTCCCCTGTCACCCCCAGATGTGTCTGCATCAGACTGACATCTTCTTTATAACACTTGATGAAAGGTTCGCGAAGGGGCCTTTCTACATGAGCGCGTGCTGGATGGGTATCCTCAAAGGGCACCAGGAATATCAGCACTAACCAGCTGGAAATGCGAGGACAGGCTGCTGGCTGCGCGTGTGGAACTGCCTCGGGTTCCCCTGAAGTGTTTTTTGAGTCCAGTTGTCTCAAGTAAGAACCCTAACTGCTTATTTGAGCTTCCAAATTTAAATTTGGGTTATCACATTTAACATTTGGTTCTTCAGTGCTAAACGTTGTTCCAGGCACTTAACAAATATCAACACGTTTAATCTTCACAACAACCCTATTTGGTAGGTACTGTCACTATCATCTTCCTGATGTAAGGAAACAAAGGTGTGGAGAAGTTGAATAATGTCCCCAGGTCACGTGGCTCATAAACGGTGGCTGTCGGCCCCAAGCCTGGGCTCTGTAACCACCGCCTTGTGCTCCTCTCCATCACAAAGCTGTGTAGTTTGACTTTTTCACCAATTCTGGGCCCAAGGGCTAGGAGAAGACAGGGCAGAGAAGGAGGGCTGTGGTCAGGAGTGGCAGGGTGCTCAGTGTCTTGGGTGCCATCTCGGGACTGTGGGGCCCACACAACGTCCCCCTGTTCTAAGCGGATGCTCAGTGCCTCACTGAGAAAGGTGCATCACTCTTACAGGTGGCTGGGCCACTCTGCCGTGTCAGGGGGAGCTCCCAAACTTGTCTGTTCTGAGGCTCCCCAAAGGGCCCAAGTTCAAATGTCATGATGCAGTCCTTCAAGAATTCCCCGTTCACTGAATGGGCTGTGGCCTGAGGACAGACCAGGCCTTTCTGAGAGGGGACCTGAGGGCAGTTACCTGCCTTGCACACCTTTGTGTCCCAGCACCTGGCCCTGGGCCTGATATGTTGCGGGCACTC